ACTGGTTCTGGTGCCTGTTGAGGCGTCTGTCTCCTGCTTTCCCAGCAGCCAGTTCAATCCTGTGGCCATCTTATTGCTACAGAAGGTCATGGGGCTGCCGGCTAGCTCTGCTCAGGGTTCATGTCATTTCTTTCTTCAGCTTTTGTTTAGAAAGCATGTTTTCCTTGAGCAATATCTGTCAATTTGACATAGTGGCTCATTTACTAGTCTCATTGAGAATTCCTCCTTTTGGCATTGCTTCTGTGATAGAATTAGGTCTGCCTTCTGTTTTTCTGTGTATATTGGACTGTCCCTTTTTTACCAGCATCACTCACAAGTTAATCAGAATTTTTTTTTTTTTTTTTTTTGAGATGGAGTCTTACTTTGTTGCCCAGGCTGGAGTGGAGTGGCACAATCTGGGCTTACTGAAACCTCTGCCTCCCGAGTAGCTGGAACTATAGGCATGTTCAAGCAATTCTCCTGCCTCAGCCCCCCGAGTAGCTGGGACTATAGGCGTGTGCCACCATGCCCGCCTAATTTGTGTATTTTAGTAGAGACAGGGTTTCACCATGTTGGCCAGGTTGGTCTTGGACTCCTGACCTCAAGTGATCCTCCCAGCTGGGATTACAGGCATGAGCCACCACATGGGCTCAGCCTAATACAATTAAGATTTCTTTTCATTAAAAGACACCATAAATAAAGTCAAGCCATAGTGCTCGCTTTGGCAGCACGTATACTAAAATTGGAACAATATAGAAAAGATTAGCATGGCCCGTGAGCAAGGATGACACGCAAATTAATGAAGCAGTTCCATATTTCTAAATACATGCACCCGTATGTTTATTGCAGCACTATTTACGATAGCAAAGACTTGGAACCAACCCAAATGTCCATCAGTGATAGACTGGTTAAAGAAAATGTGGCACATATACACCATGGAATACTTATGCAGCCATAAGAAGAAATGAGTTGATCTTCTTTGCAGGGACATGGATGAAGCTGGGAACCATCATTCTCAGCAAACTAACACAGGAACAGAAAACCAAACACTATGGGAGTTGAACAGTGGGAACACATGGACATAGGGAGGGGAACATTACACACTGGGGCCTGACAGGGAGTGGGGAGCTAAGGGAGGAAGAGCAGGGGGTGGGGGGATTAGGGAGGGATAACATTAGGAAAAATACCTAATATAGATGACGGGTTGATGGGTGCAGCAAACCACCTTGGTACATGTATATCTATGTAACAAACCTACACGTAAAGTGTAGTAATTAAAACAACAAAGTCAAGCCATAAATGGGGAAAAGACATCTGTAATACGTATAACTAACAAAGGATTAGCTGTTAACAGAGTAAATAGATGTAGGATCTCCCCACATAAATATTGCAAGGGAAAATAATGCAATTTAAAAAATGACAGTACCAGGTGCAGTTGTTCATGCTCATAATCCCAGCACTTTGGGAGGCTGAGGTAGAAGGATCGTTTGAGCGGTGGCTGGGCAATGCAGCGAGAACCCCAGCTCCTGAAAAAACTAAAAAATTAGCTGGGACTGGTGGCATGTGCCTATAATCCTAGCTACTCTGGAGGCTGAGGTGGGAGGATTGCTTGAGCCCAGGGGTTGAGGCTGTAATGAGCCATGATGGCACCACTGTTCTCCAGCCTGGGCAACAGAATGAGTCTCCATCTCCTGAAAACACACACACACAAAGAAAAAAATGACAAGGAGACACAATTTGGCATTTCACAGAAGAAAAAACAAGTGGCTTCTCAGCATATGAAAAGATGCCAAAGCTTTCTAACCAGGATGAGGGCCAGCAAGATTCTTGTCCTTGGTTGGTAGAAATGAAGATGACTGATAACTGTAAGTGTTGGTGAGAGTGTAGGTTCACAGAAATCCCCGTGCTGCTGGTGGAAGTGTTTGTTGTTACCTGTGCTTTGGAGAGCAGTTTGGTGCTCAGTTACAAAATTGGCCTTTCATACAACCTATGTGCCAGCAACTCCTCTGTGTTCTCTAGATGTAGAGTCTAGAGCAGGGACTGGTCACCTCTTTCTGTTAGGGACAAGAAAGTAAATATCCTAGGCTTTGTGAACCACATACACACTTAGTCTTTGTTTTATAACACTTTAAAAATCTAAAAAGCAGGCTGGGCATGGTGGCTCACGCCTGTAATCCCAGCACTTTGGGAGGCCAAGGCGGGCAGATCACGAGGTCGAGACCATCCTGGCCAACATGGTGAAACCCCACCTCTACTAAAATATAAAAAATTAGCTGGGTGTGGTGGCGCGTGCCTGTGGTCCCAGCTACTCGGGAGGCTGAGGCAGGGGAATTGCTTGAACCCGGGAAGCGGAGTTTGCAGTGAACTGAGATTGTGCCGCTTTACTGCAGCCTGGCAACAGAGCAAGACTCAATCTCAAAAAAAAAAAAAAAAAAATCTAGAAAGTATTCTTAGTTCAAAGACCTTACAAAAATAGGCTGCTGGCTAGATTTGACCCAGAGGCTGTAGTTTGCCAATTCCTGATTCTCTGTTCTAGGGGATATACCCTGGAGAAACATAGTTATATGCAGTCTTAGCAGCAGGAGGTCCGGGAAAGCACAGAGCGGGCTGCAGGAGTTGAGTGAGAGGGGAGGGTGGGAGGGTGGCCTCCTGGAGAAGGTGGGGGGCTGGCCTGCGTGTGTCTGGGTGGGTTCTGCAGTGGCCTGGCTGGGCCTAGGGGAACTCAGAGCACCTGAGGGACATCGGGCCAGTGTGGAGAGCAGAGTGGCAGCCAAGGCCAGGGCCACAGGTCGGGGCTGGTTGACCCTGATACCTGGCGGTCAAGGCTAGCACCAGCTGCCCTTGCTGCTTGGCTTGGAAAGATGAGTGAGCATCGTAATGGACCAGCAAGTTTGTAAGCAAAGACAGAAAAGACACCTACGATACATATACCTTAACATCAACGTTTTAAAAACTTTTTGTTTTCACAAGTAAGCAATTTCCCACACTTTGCCACAGCAATGTTTTGTGAAGCTGACCCAGTGGCTGGAACGCCAGTTCATCAGTCTCTGAAGTTCTCTGCTGCCAGCGTTCATTCCTGTTTTCTCCTAGCTGTGAAGTCGGGCTGGGAGGCTGTCAGCTCATGTGCCTATCAGCTTCATGCAGGCAGCAAGAATGGGGCTTGGAAGGAGGGGCTTTGCTGCCCACCCAACAGCTACCTCCCCCCCATGCCCAGGACCTCAGGAGTGGAAGGAATTTGGCTCCTACTTCTCTAAGTAGCAAACATAGATGAATTGAGCGAAGGAACGCAGTGCATTTTTGAGGGAGATGGTGAGTTAGTTTTGAAAGAAACTTCCTCTGTTTACCTGAGGCGTTACCGTGTCATGGGAGAGGATGGAGGAGGTGTGGAGGTGGGAAATTCTACACAAGAAAAACCCTGCAGTGCAGAGGTGGCTGATGTGAGGCGGCTGGTCGAGGCAGCGGTGTTCCCTGAGGCTTCTGAGTCTGGTGCTCACTGGGTCCCTCTCCTCCCTTCACAGCCCCTCATTCCTTACCAAGGTACATGGGGGTGCAGGGCCGGCCAGGAGCTGTTACAGGAGGGGAGTGGTGTGGCTGAGCCTGAGACAGGAAGGGCATCTGGGCCGGAGCTGCCCTGCAGAGACCTCATAAAGGTCATAAGGCACTGGGCAAAAACTTTTCAAGAAAGTTCATGGTGTGCAAACTGACCTCCACACTGGCCAGCATTCACAAGGATTTTTTCCTTGTAAAAATGGCCACTGCACGGTATCCAGAAAACAAAGACAAGAGAAGCCAGACTTCATTCCACCATCTGGAAACATTTAATTTGTGCTTTGGATAAGTGTTAGCATGTATTTAGGATGATCGATCAAATTATTAGTGTGTTTATGAGTGCACAGTGTAATTTTTATTAAAGCTCAAGTTTCTTCAGGAACTCAATTCAACTCCTTCACGTTCCTGGTTATTGTCGTTTACTTGATCTTGAGGTATCCTTTGGCAGAGCTGTGCAGGCCGGGGACCTTTGTGGCTCATTTTGGGGAGCCGTTTGCTTTACCTGTTGGTGGGAACCTGCAGGTGGGAGGCAGCCAGTCTCACAGAGTACCTTGTCAGCAGGTGTGGAAGAGAGACCCGTGTGGTGTCCCCTCTACCAGCACAGCCCTTGGGTACATTGGCATCTACCTGAGCCCCCTTGTGCACGCAGGGAGCCACACCCCTCACATGCTCCTCTCCAGCACACCGTGGTGTGGCGTGCTCTGTCGTCCACAGTGGGCCCACCCCGCAGCTCTGTGCTCAGCCTGCTGGGTCATGGTGGTGCTAGATTAATAAGATGAGGGTGGACGTCAAAACGGAGCACTTTGGGTACTGTGGGCACACCTCACAGGGCTTCCCCGGGAAGGAGCAGCTCCTGGGCTCCAGAAGCAGGTTGACCAGGCCACCCTGAGTTGTGGCATCGAGACTCATCTAGCAGAAGTCAGAGAGGAAGGAAAACTGGCTGAGAACAGCCGTTGTTCAGCCAAAAGCTCAGAATGATGCATTGAATTCAGAGTTACGACACAGCAAAGTAGTACTGTATGTGTAATTTTTTTAAACCTCAAAAATACTCTGTTTATTACTAACCTTTTTAAATTTGTGGAGACAGCCTCGCTCTGCACTCAGGCTGGAGTGCAGTGGTGCCGTCATAGCTCAGGGCAGCCTCTACCTCCCGGGCTCAGCAGTCCTCCTACCTCAGCCTCCCAAGGAGCTGGGACCACAGGTGTGCGCCTCTGTGCCTCGCCCAATTTATTAAGTACACCTTTTAGGAAGTTCTTTGAATAGTAATATCAATAGTTTCTGTGTGTTTGGGTAAAATATAAAGGAAGGAAGCATATTTGATCATGTTTTGTTCCCAACACATATTAAAGTTGGAAGGATTCTTGTGTTACCTAAAACCAAAAGACAGCACGTCTCAGACGCTTTTGCCTTCCCAAAGCTGTGTGTTTCCCGGCATGAGGATGTGACGGCGCGCTCTTTACTGTCCTTCCCAGCAGAACACCTCCTTCCTAAAATGGAGTCGAGTAAGAAGATGGACTCCCCTGGCACGCTGCAGACCAACCCGCCGCTGAAGCTGCACACTGACCGCAGTGCAGGGACGCCGATTTTTGTCCCTGAGCAAGGAGGTTACAAGGAGAAGTTTGTGAAGGCCGTAGAAGACAAGTACAAGTGTGAGAAGTGCCGCCTGGTGCTGTGCAGCCCGAAGCAGACCGAGTGTGGCCACCGCTTCTGCGAGAGCTGCATGGCTGCCCTGCTGAGGTAGGCGCCTTTGCCCGGCCCCCCACCTGCCACCTCCTTGGCCCTTAGCTTTACTCTGTCCTTCATTCGTTTCTTTAAAATAAAACCTCTAGCGGTGTAAAGCCCTGAAGAAGTCCGTAAAAGCCCCTGGGCCCCGCTTGTGAATCTGCTGGGGAGGTACTGTGGGACCCCGCATCTGAGTTTACTGAGGCCTCCATTTGTCTGACCCATCCCGCCCACATCGTTCCACTCTGCCCGCAGAGCCTTGGCGCCCCTCATATGTGTTGCGGTATTTTATTGAGGAAGCTCACAGTTCCATGGAGGAGACACACCTGGAAATAAGCCAGTCATTTAAGGGCACAGGTATTCACACCTGTCTGCTCTGCAGACACCTGGCTTTGGTTTCTAAAATAAAATTTCACTTTTACATTAAGTGCAGGGGGCTTTCCAAGTGGGACTGAACTAAGCTGCTCTGCTTGGTAACTTCCTTTTGAAAAAAATCGCCATTTAAAAAATGCAGCCCTTTTCTCCCATGGCTTCCTCCATAACGCAAATCACGAGGGCGACCTGAAGCTCTGCTTATTGCTGTGAGCCGCTGCGCAGGCCTGACCGTAGAGCGAATGCTCCGGGAATCTCCTGAGTCCCCTCAGGAAAGGGACTCCACTCTAATGCGGTCGTGTGTGTTTCCCCACAGCTCCTCAAGTCCAAAATGTACCGCGTGTCAAGAGAGCATCGTTAAAGATAAGGTATTCTTGGTTTGTTTTTTTTTTTTAATCATTTTGTCACGTTTTCAGCTGGGTAGTACTTTTCACACAGTTTGCATTTGGCACTCTGGCATGACACGTTCCCTCAGTTTTGGCAGTGGATGCCACAGCCTCCCAGGCGGGACGCTGTACCTCATGATCACCTGGGTGGACAGTGGGTTCAGATCCACTTGACCACTCCCCTGCGGTGTGAGCTCCGTGAGCTCCTTCACCCCCTCACCTGTAATAATCATATCGCCTGCCAAGATGCTGGGAGCTGGTGTGAGGAGTAAGGGGGTTGATGGGAGCAAAGTGCTGAGAGGCCTGTCCCTGGCAGAGCTGTCTGTGGTTGTGTCACTTCTGTTATCACGGGTCTTTATCCCAGACAGCTTCTACTCGGCTCCTACACTAGATTTTACCTTCAGACATGCTAGGCTGAGGGGTTCATTTGAGTTTGCACTCCCCACCCCCTCCCGCCTCTGGTGATACCTTGAAGTCATTAGCCATGAGTGAGATTAGCGCCTTCTTACCCCTGTGGTTGTCCTCAGCTAGAGCCTGTGGGTGTGTCTGCACACTCAAGAGGATGGGGCTGCCAGCCAGCCACCAGCTTCTCGCCTGGGGCCTGGTCCTTCTCATGGAGACCAGCAGTCATCCATGTGCTGCTAAACCCTGCCAGGCACACTTGGAGTTTGAAACTTGTTGAGGTGTAGTTTCGCTCTTATCGCCCAGGCTGCAGCGAGGTGATGCAACTCGGCACACTGCAACCTCTGCCTCTCAGGTTCAAGTGATTCTCATGCCTCAGCCTCCCAAGTAGCTGGGATTATAGGCACAAGCCACCATGCCCAGCTAATTTTTGTATTTTTAGTAGAGATGGGATTTTCACCATGCGGGTTAGGCTGATGTCAAACTCCTGACCTCAGGTGATCTGCCTGCCTCAGCCTCCCAAAGTGCTGGGATTACAGGCATGAGCCACTGTACTCAGCAATTCATTCTTAAAGTGCTTAAAATGTCAATAAAAATATGTGTTTCCATACTTTGAGTAATGAATCCAACCATTTTTTAAATGCAGGTTATTAAGTTGTACAACAAAATTCTTGCTCTGGGGTTTTCCTGTCTAAAGATTGGGTTTGTTGGTCAGGGCAACACAGGTGAGTGCAGTGAATTGAGGATTGCTGGCAGAGACAAGGGCATCCCATAGAGCCACTCTGGAAGGTGGAGAGGTGGAATTGGCCACCTGGCCCTGTACCCTTCCTTTCTCCACATTTACCTCCTACTGCTGAAGACTTGGTTAGTTCCTCTGAGGGAAGACAGCCCCTCCCCTCTGCTCTGTACCTTGTCCTAGCATGGTACCAGGCTGCCTTGTGAGCATGTGCCTAACGTGTGAGTGAGAGAGAAGCTCACAACAATGGCTGAGATTATTTTTTTAGTATCTCTGTTTCGTTATGCAGAATCATTATCCCCATATTTTAATGACGTCAGTAGCTGAAGAAAAATTGACAAGTTTTGTCAAAGAATCATGAATGAGATGCACTCAAGCTGTGGACCCTCATGGAAAGAGTGGAGTTGTCTGGGCCCTGGGTGACCCGGGTCTACCCATCAGCAGGTCATCCAGGGATGGAGGCCTCTGGTCCTCATCTGTAAACAGGGACATTTGAAGTAAATAGTCTCAGATCTTTTCCATTCCAAAGTTCTGTTGACTTTAGTATCTTAAGTCATGACCTTTTTTTTATTTAGTCATATTTATGAAAGAAAAGCTTTGGCTCCAAATTAGTTTATTTTTAACAGCTGTTGATTCTGTTTCTCTCAGCAGTCCTGTTATTCCACCTTCATAGAGCAACAGGCAGGAGTTTCTTAGAAATGCCTTTGGACTAAGCTATTGTAGGTTGTGTTAGAAAGAGTGAGAGAGGGGTGGGTGGGTACCTTACGCCTGTGATCCCAGCACTTTGGGAGGCTGAGGCAGGTGGATCACTTTAGCTCAAGAGTTGGAGACCAGCCTGGGAAGCATATGAAGACCCCATCTCTACAAAAATGAAAATTAAAAAGTTACCTGGGCTTGGTGCCATGCACTTGTAGTTCAGTCCACTCAGGAGGCTGAGGTGTGAAGATCGCTTGAGCCCAGGAGTTTAAGGCTGTAGTGAGCCATGATTGCACTACCGCACTCCAGCCTGGGTGACAGAGTGAAACCCCATCTCTTTTTGAGACAGAGTCTCGCTCTGTCACCCAGGCTGGAGTACAATGACACGATCTCAGCTCACTGCAACTTCCACCCCCTGGGTCAAGCCATTCTCCTGCCTCAGCCTCCCAAGTACCTGGGACCACAGGTACCTGCAACCACACCCAGCTAATTTTTTAAAAAATATTTTTAGTAGAGATGGGGTTTCACCATGTTGGCCAGACTGGTCTTGAACTCCTGACTTCAGGTGATCCACCTGCCTCAGCCTCCCAAAGTGCTGGGATTATAGGGATGAGCCACTGCTCCTGGCCAACCCTGTCTCTTAAAAAAAAAAAGAAAAGGGCCGGGCGCGGTGGCTCAAGCCTGTAATCCCGGCACTTTGGGAGGCCGAGGCGGGTGGATCACGAGGTCAAGAGATCGAGACCATCCTGGTCAACATGGTGAAACCCCGTCTCTACTAAAAATATAAAAAATTAGCTGGGCATGGTGGCGCGTGCCTGTAATCCCAGCGACTCAGGAGGCTGAGGCAGGAGAATTGCCTGAACCC